CAGGACCCCACAAGGCCACCCTCTCCCACCCCCATGACTTCATCCTCCGTGGAGCAAAGCCAGGCACCAGCATCAGTGTACCTACAAGGTTCACACAGGGGCCAGGCCCAGGTGAGCCCATGAGCAGATGGACAGGCAGCAGCTCAGCCCCACGCCACCCCTCCACCTGACCCAGACTGCCCCACACCTTGAACACAAGCTCATCAGTCACCGCAAACGTCCGGTCCAGCTTCCCAGACAGGGAGTTGATTTCCTTCTGAAGCTCCTTTGTGTCAGACAAGATCTGGCAGAGACCAGGGCCATAAGCCTATGTCGGGGGCAGGGTGACTGACCAGCTAAGGGCTTTCATGTGCATGCACTCACATCCAGACAGGGCCTATGTCACTGTGTCAGGGGTAGCTGCAGTGGACTGTGTGGGACTGTTCTGGGTCATGGTGTGGCCTATCAGAGAGTGTGAGGTCCCTGTGTGGCCATGCAACACCCATCTGCCCTTTGGGCACGTCTGCCCATATTACCCACCCTCCATGGCAAAGGCAGCGCACCTTAGTGATCTCTTCTTTCTGCTTCCGGATGTTGCCCACAATCTCCAGGATGCGCTGGGTATAGGCCAGCCGGGACACGTCTCTGGGCAGGGTCTCCAGCTCAGACACCTAGACAGAGACACAGCAGGCACTACCCCAGGGCCCACACCCCACCCACTCTGAGCCAGCCAAGGCCCCAACATGGGCCTTACCAGCTGCTTATAGATCTCCTCCTTCCTGCGGGCCTCCTCGGCAGCTGCCCGAACACTCTGATGCAGCTCCTGAATCTCTGCCAGCCGTCGGGAAGATTCTAGCTGCCAGGACCCCATGGGTAGAGGACAGTGAGCAGAGCATGGGGATGGCCCCCTAGGAAGATACCAAACCTGCCACACCCACAGCCCAGGACCCCACCACCTACCTCTCTGCAATCCTGGAGCTTTCGGAGGTGGCGGTACTCAGCAAGGAGCGGGACCCGGTGCTTTTCCCACTGGCCCGCCAAATGGATGACCCGCTGGGCACTACTCTCTACCACGAGCTGGAGGTGGTGGTAGGAGGGTACATGTCACACAGGCTGGGCCCTTCCACCTCTGACCCTCCTGGTCCAGCCCCAGCACCAGCCCCACCTGCAGCTTGGCGAGGTTGGCAGCCCCATCTGGCAGCAGCTCCACCGCCCGGCTCTTCAGGCGCAGGGCCTGCTCCCTCTCCGCTGTGCTGAGCTCAGTCTGCCGACACTCGGTCTCCACCTGGCACCCCAGGACTCCCAATCCCAGTCAGTGGGGGAGCTCAAACACACACCACAGGCTTCCAGCCCACACTGAGCTGGAAAGCCCTGGCCTTGCCTGAGCCCCTATCAACCCTCCTGATAGCATCAGAGACCTATAAGCAGCAACAGGCACCCACAGGTGCCTATGACTCTTCCACCTTCATGATGACCCCCAGGAGCACTGACAAACCCCACAAGCTCCTGCCCATACAGACCCATCATGCCCCACAGATGCCCAGAGATGCCCACACACTTCCTGATTCTCACAGTAACCCACAAGGCCTGACTAATGCTCACAGGCATTCTCACCCCTACAGGTCCACTGAGCCCTGCAACATACATTCCCTGTCTCACCCCCACTGAGTCTCCTGAACCCTCAAGAGCCCCACACATCCCCAAAAGCCCCCATAAATCCTTCTGACATCTGCAGACCTCTACAGAGTACCTCTCATCCCCAAGTCCTCCAAAGCCCTCTAGACCAGACATGTGACCTGACCCCAGACAGCAGCCCCATCCCCGCCCCCACCTGCACAAGGCCGATTCCCAGCGTCTTCATGTTGGCTTCAACCTCTTCAATGTTGCGATTCACTCCCTCTAGCTGTTCCTGAAGGGCCTCCAGCTCCTGCTCTTGAGCTGCCCATGTGTCCTGGGAGGAACAGGCCAGTCAGGGTGGGAGTGTCAGGCCCAGTAGACAGGCAAGGACCCAGGATACGCCTCACTGCTCCGCTTACCTGTTCAGGCCATCGGGAGGTGGCTGGCACATCTGACACCTGGGCTGCCTGGGCCTCAGGCTCCTAGGGTAGTGAGAAGGGAGCATCCTGGCTGTCAAGGAAGGCCTTGTCCCTCACAGCCCAGCCTCAACACCCCCCTAAGCAGCCTTCTAGCATCATATCCATGTCCACTCAACGGCTGATGACTATCAGACTATGACTCTATGAGGATCAGGGCATTCTTTGAGACCTCAGACTAGAATGTTTGCTCATAAAGAAACCTCCCTCAGCCCAGCCGGCGTGGCTCAGTGGTTGAACATGGACCTATGATCCAGGAGATATCGGTTCGATTCCAGGTCAGGGTACATGCCCAGGTTTCGGGCTCAATCCCCAGTAGGGGGCATGCAGGAGGCAGCCCATCAATGACTCATCATTGGTGTTTCTCTCTTTCCTTTTTCCCTTCCTTTCTCTGAAATCAATAATAATATTTTTTTTAAAAAAGAAACCTCCCTGATCCTGAAAGCTCCTGCTCACCTGCCCCAACTGCCTATGAAAAGGATGAGTACCCCTCTAGATGACCATCCAAAGAGAGAAGATATGCCCAGAGGAAACTTCCTGAGGAAGCCTGGAGTTTGCACAAAGAACACCCCTCCACCCTTATATGGTTCCCACCCCTCCACTCTTTATCCACTGAAGTCCCCGAGAAGCCAGTGGACCTCTCTAGGTACTAGTCCCTAGTGAGGAGAAGCCACATCTGGTTAGAACACAGGCAACTGTGTGAGTAAATTGTGGTTGTTTGTACATAAAGCAACCCTCTGAGCCAGTCTTGGCCCCATCAGCATGCCCATTGTCCACTCAGGCCCACCCACCATATGGAAGGTGAACTTCTCTGAATGTGTGAAGCGGGAGCCCTTGGGAGCACCAGTCTTGGTCCCAGCACCCCAGGCCTGCAGCAGCTCTCCCAAGTCTCGGGCTTGTGGCAGGGAGCCCAGCTGGCCCCAGGTCTGACGCAGATACTCAGCCAGGTGCTTCTGCAGCCGCTGCCGCTGAGCCCGAGTATCCTCCTGAAAACAGAGGGTGGGGCAAACGGGACACTGAAGAGGCCTCCAGTTCACCCAAAGCCCTGCTTCCTCCAGGGAGCCACGTGACAAGGTGCTTCTGACAAATCACACCCTCCAGTCTCTCCCACTGAGGAGGCCCCAGACCTGCTCTCCTGGCCCACATCTGGGAGCTTCCCCAGCATGAGGTCTCCTCTTCCTCACAGCCACTCTTCTCTCCACCTGCCCACTCCTCACACTGGAGGAAAATGTGGGAAGGTGGAGAAGCCCGCAGGCCCCAAATCAGAGGGACAAGGAAAGAGTATGTGGGGACAGAGTGCAGACAGAGTCAGGGGTGCTGAGCAAAGAAGGGGGTGGAGGCAGAGAGTGGAACTGAGAGAGAGACAGGGACAGGGGCAGTTTTGAGAAAACCGAGGAAACCTGATTATGAACTATATTAAGAGATCATTGTTAATTTTGCTAGGTGTGAAATGGCCCAAGGGTTACATTAAAAAGTGAACGCCCTTATGAGTTATGACATATGCTTAAGTATTTAGAGTTGAAATGACATGACGCCTGGGATTTGCTTGAAATTAATACAGAAGAAAAGTTGGAGAGACTAGATGAAGAAAGATTGGCAAAATGCTTATAGCGGAAGGTGGATGTCAGGTACATAGGATTCATTCGAACAGTCTCTCTGCTTCTATGTTTGAAACTTTCTGTAAGTTTAAAAAAGACAGAGATAAAGACGGAACACATGGCAGTGGGGAGACAGACAGAGACAGTTGCAGAGGTGGGCAGGGGGCAGGCAGGACAGATCCAGGTGGTCAGAGTGGGAGGCGCAGCACAGAATGAGGACACAGAGGGGAAGAGAGAGGGGCAGCAGAACCACAGATGGAGAAGGTAGCCAGAAGAGATAATGCAGAGATCTTGAGACAGAAGAAATGAGCGTCGCTGACAATGGCAGAGAGAGAGAGCCTCAGGGTGGGAAGCAGGTCCTGGCTGCTCAGGTTGCTGGAAACCTCGTGCACATTTTGCAGTCAAATGCAGAGCACTATCACCACCCATGTCTTAAAACAGGAAATTGAGACTGAGCAAGGATGCTGACTGATCCAAGATCCACAGCCTTTCTCACTCCAGTGTTCTTCAGGTGGGGGGGCCAGGTAGATGTGCGTACAGGGAAACGACAAAAAAGAGGGAAGGACAAAGTGGGGGAGAGGGGCAGAGGACCCATGGGAGCAATAAGGAGCTAGGTCATTCACAGCAGGGAGCCAAGCATTGGGCGGTACCTGGGTGGGGAGGCGGGATGACCAGTGGACCCAGTCCTTGTCCCCAGGGTGGTCCTGGTCTGTGTGCTGGCAGAGCTGGATGGCATGGCATTCGAGGAGTGAGGCCACCCTCCCAGCAGGCTGAGGCACCTGGGTGGGGGCTGGTAGTAACAGGGAACTTGCCTGGAACTCCCGGTGCTCTGCAAGCAGGAACAGAGTCAGCAAGCCCTCCCGCCTCACCACACAGTCAGGCCCACCTCTACTGTTCTCCCCAGCATCTCCCCAAAGTCTCATGCTCACCTCCTTTGGAACTCAATTCAGGCATGACCAGCCTACTGGCATGGAAAGGATTCTTGGGGGCCGAGCCCTGGTGGGAGAGCAGAATCAGAGCCACTAAGATCAACTGTGATGGAGGGCACTGGTGGGAAGGGGCCAAAAACCTGAGTACCCAGATAGGGACAAGGAAAGCCAGGCAGGGACAAGCAAAGACCAACATGAATTGGGGGGTCCCACCTGGAGGTGCTGCAGCTTAGGAGTGCGAAGGAGGGGTGGAACCCAGGGCAGGGTCAGCTGGTCCCGAATTTGGCTCCCAATTGCCCGGAGAAGGATAGCTGAGTCACCTATGGGGGTGGGGAGGGAGTGTAAATCAGGTGACAATGCCACAACTTCAAAAATACAGACCACGGGAAAACAGCCATTGCTCCCTGACCCCCACTCCTGCCCCTACCCCCCCAGCAAAAGATGCATATCTATCTAGCTATCAAACCCAGTCATTCAACAAATACTTATTGAGTACCTATTATGTACCAATCACCACTCTAGACTCTCAGGCTATCACAGTGAACAAACTAATAAAGATCCTGCCCTCCCGGTCATAAGGATGATACAGAAAACTGTCAGGTGGTGACCAGGAAAGGAAGATAAGGACTGTTGGGAAGAGGACGTCATTTTAAACAAGGAAGCCCAAGACAGGCCTCCCTGATGTGACATGATCAGAAACCAAGAGGCTATCTGGGGGAGAGTAATCCAGCCAATGCAAAGCCCTGAGGCTGGAGTATGCCTGGCATATGTGAGGGGCATCAAGGAGGCCAGTAGGGTTAGAATGAAGTAGGTGAGGGGGAGCAAGGCATGAGGTGAGGCAGGGAAGCCCTTCCCAGCACCAGCTCACCACCTGGTTCAGCCCAAGTCCTGGCCCCTCCCTCCTGCTCTGTATACCGTCTTCCAGCCCTAATCCTCCCACCTAGCTCTCCCAAAGACACATACCTCCACCCCCTTTCTGGCAACCTCTTTACCATCTCCACCTTTCTCAGCCTCTATAACACCAATACCACCCTCTCCCCTTACCCTCACTATGCCCTGGGTACCCCATACCTGCAGGCTGGTCTGCATCCTCAGAGGCATCTGTAGGTAGGCGCTCAGCCAAGAAGAGAAGCAAGTCCCGGAGGTCAGGCTCACTGGGGTAGAGGAAGTTCTGGTAGCCAAGCTCCAAAGGATAGCCCAGGTCCTGGGGGTTGGGGAGGAGGTCCCTATCAGCCAGGCAGGCAGGCTCTTCCTGCCCTGGGAGCACTGGGCCTAGACCCTAAATGCTCCCACTCTCACCAACCACTGTCCTGTGAATGTCTCCTTGACTCCCCAAGGCCTCTAGGCTTCTGTTGGGGGAGCCACAGAGTAATTCCAGTCAATGTTACGCAGAGCAAGAAATAAAATTAAAACTTTAGTTTTTCTAACTATGGCTCAAAATCCAGAGACCATAAAAGTGAAGATGGGTATTTCTGAATACATAAAAAGAAGTAAAAAATTTATTTATTCATTTTTTATTTTTTAAATATATCTTTATTGATTTCAGAGAGAGGAAAGGAGAGGGAGAGATAGAAACATCAATGGTGAGAAAGTCATTAATCAAGCCGGCAACCCGGGCATGTGCCCTGACCGGGAATTGAACCCCGATCACCTGGATCCTAGGTCGACGCTCAACTGCTGAGCCATGCCTGGCCAGGCAGAAATAAAAAATTTAAAGGAAAAATATAATAATCCCTCAAAAAAGTAATGACAAGCTGGGGAAAAAATATTTGGAACTCATAGCATAGGAAATAAAAAGTGCCTAAAATTGCCCAGCCAGCATGGCTCAGAGGTTGAGCATCGGCCTATGATCCAGGAGATCCCAGTTCGATTCCAGGTTGGGGCACATGCCCGGGTTGCGGGCTCGATCCCTGCAGGAGGTGTGCAGGAGGCAGCTGATCAATGACACTCTCATTATTGATGTTTCTATCTCTCTCTCCCTCTCCCTTCCTCTCTCTGAAGTCAATAATATATATATATTATTTTTTTTCTTAAATGCCTAAAACTAAACAAGCAAGACCAGCAATGCAACAGAAAAATAGGCAAAAGGTAAGAACAGTTTACCAAAAAAGAAATTAAAACATCCGTGAAACACACGGAAATATGTCCAACCTTGCTTATAAGAGAGACATGAATTGAAGGCACACTGAGAGACTTCACACAAGCATCACTGACTGGGACAACCTGACGCTATGTTCTCCTGCAGTGCGTGTACACTGGGAGGGAGACTCTATATCACTAGGGCAGTGCTCTTGCCCCAAGCCTGAATCTACTTATGAGAAAATACTCAGAGCAATTCAAACGGGGGAATTCCAAACAACCAGCCTGGATGCTTCAAATACATTTGTCATCACAAAAGAAACAAAGAAACGAAAGCAAAGGAGGGCTGTTCAAAACTTAAGATTAGACATGTAACAATGTATTAAAATGTAATTCTTTTCTTTTTTTTTTTTTTAAATATATCTTTATTGATTTCAGAGAGAGGAAAGGAGAAGGAGAGAGAGAAAAACATCAATGATGAGAGAGTCATTGATCAAGCCAGCAACCCGGGCATGTGCCCTGACCGGGAATCCAACCCACACTGCCTGGATCCTAGGTCAACGCTCAACCGCTGAGCCACGCCCGGCCGGGCCTAAAATGTAATTCTTGATCAAATTCTGTGAAGTTTTAAAAAGTAACTATAAAGGATACTTTTGTAACAACTGAGGAAATCTAACCAAGTACTAGACCTTAGATACTATTGCATTTCATGGGTGTGATCATGGTACTGTGGTTATTGCTGGAGAATGTCTTTTTGCTTAGGAGAGGCACATTCAGTTTTAGGTATGAAGTGTCATGAGCTAAGCCACTTTCAAATGGCTCAGCAAAAAATTGTGCATGTAGGTGTGTAAAAAAATGGAGCAAAATGTTACAATGTAGGAAGCTAGGAGAAGGGTATACAGGTACCACTATTCTATTTTTATTTTTATTTAAATTTGAAAAAAATTTTAAGATACAAAGCTGGGCAGGGAGGGAAGTATATTGAGATACCATTTCTTACCTATTGAATGGCGGAGAAATCCAAAAATCTGACAATACACTCATTGGGAAAGGCTGTGGGGAAACAGGCTGGTGGGAATGCAAAATTAAAGTCCTAGTGAGGGCAATTTGGCAAAATTTAACCAAACTACACCTACACAAGCATTTACACTTCCACCTAGCTATCTTACTTATAGGAGTAGATATGCTTCCAACAAGTCAAGAATATATATGCACAAGATTATTCATTACAGCATTCTTTGCAGAATGTTGGAAATTCCCTAAACGTCCAAGCTTAGGAGAGTGGTTGAATAAACTATGGTACATACATACGATGGACTACTTTGAGCTGTAAAAAGGGGGAAAAATATTAAGAGCTCTACTATTTGATATGAAATGATTTCCAGGATATACTGTTAGGTTAAAAAAAGCTAAGAAACTAACACAATCATCGTGGGGGACTTTAACACCCCACTGTCAGCATTGGAGAGATCAAGACAAAAAATCAACAGGGAAACGCAGACCTTAAATGAATCATTAGACCTAATGGATTTAATTGATATTTATAGAACATTTCACCCCAAAGCAGCAGAATACACATTCTTCTCAAGTGTACATGGAACATTCTCAAAAATAGACCACATGTTAGGGCACAAGGCAAGTCTCTACAAATATAAGAAGACTGAAATCATATCAAGCATCTTCTCGGATCACAATGCCATGAAACTAGAAATCAACCACTATAAAAAAACTCAAAAATATTCAAACACATGGAGGCTAAATAGCATGTTATTAAACAATGAATGGGTTACCCAGGAGATCAAGGAAGAAATCAAACACTTCATGGAAAGTAACGAAAATGAACAGACAACAACCCAAAACCTATGGGACACGGCGAAAGCAGTCCTGAGAGGAAAATTCATATCGTTACAGGCCTATCTCAAGAAACAAGAAAAAGAT